GTCTTCATTGAGTTCCTGCACAAGTTGAATTTTGTAGGGATGATATTTTTCCTGCCTCAGGATACGTAGCACTGTGGTCTGACTAATTTCATTGTTTAATGCAACCAATCGTGAAGTATTATGAGGATTATCTACCATACTTATCAAAATGTTGTATTTGTGATCTTCACTAACGCTTGGACGTCCAGGTTTTGGAATATCTACAACATTGCCAGTTTCTCTAAATTTAGATTCTATCTTACTGACTGTTGATTGGCTCATACGGCGATCTGAATGTTTTTCATTAAAAAAATCTCAAACTTCCTGCTGCGTTCTAGCAGTGACTATAACAAGAATTCTTGTTATAGTCACTGGTTCTAGTCTTATCCCCGCATCCAATAAGAATTAAAATTTCAATTCTTTGTGTGATAGTTAAATGTGCCATAATACTTTAAATTCAACAATAATTTTTATATCGCTTACAATACTTAGAAACAATGACACTTTGTAAAGATTTACACCTACGTGATCCATACAAAACTTCAGGCATTTCAAAAAACTAAATTTGATAACGTTTTTGCTTTATTTTAGTTGATTTGGGTTTTCTAACATTCAATCGTCATTTATTCGAAAACTTTCCTATGTAAGATGGCAACATTTTAATACTGCCGGATCGACAATGAAACGATCTTTCAAAATCAAGAAAAAAATATAGGGGGTTGCTATTAAAAAAAATGTCGATGACGTCATTATTCGAAAACAAATGACAGTTGAAAATCGCCTTTTATGCTAAAATATGTACTTTTTAAATTAAAAATCGACCTGTTCGAGGATTTTTCCCAAAAAAAATTGGTTTCGTTTTTATTGAATTTATTCCATACTTTAGGCGCGTATTGTATAACGGGCTTTGTAACTTCACAGGTTATAAAAATAATTTCTTGTGACATTTACAAAAATATATATAAAGGGAAACTACTCGTTTCCTTTAACTAGATTAAAAAATTGTGGGCCTTATTTTATTCCTTCTTCTGATACTATAAAAATTTGCAGACAGACGGAACAAGTATTCAAACAACGGCAAGGCATCATGAAAACAATTAAAAATTTTAAAGACATAATTATTAATAAAGTCTTTTTAACATTGATGTGTACAACGAATGTTATCATGTTAAATCATATAAAGACTTAAGATATACTAGATAACCACAAAGTTGAACTGATCAAGATACGTGTAAAAACATAACGGTAAGAGTTCACCATGAAACTTCTAAGGTTGTCAATGTATCTATTAGAAGTAAGTTTTCAAAACTAGATACATCTTGTAATAAACACGAAGTCTCATGCATTAGCAAAATGTGGAATTTCTAGCTACTGATTGGACAAGTAAAAATTTGCTTTAACCAATTTCATCAATACATTACCCTTAATTAATAAAAATCCTCAATCAATAAAACCTTAAGTATCCATAGGGTGTAAAGATATACATTTTTACTTATAAACAAATTTTGTCTTCTTTTTTTTATTATTTGCTAGATTCATCGCTTCATGCCAGTTTGTTCCTCTTTTCTATAAGTCTTCTGCCACTACTTGGTCCCGTGGTTTTTACTTTTTATGGGTATGCCTAGTTTCCTCGTTCCTTTTTTTTTTGTTTGCCAAATCATTTTCGGCTGTCTTTCTGTTCATAACCTAACTTCGGAAATGACAATGACTTAATTAACCGACCAATGAGTAAATGATCATAGCGCGTGCGTATAACACACAAAGTGCAACACCCCCTCTTTTTGGCTTCAATTCCCTTTCAAAATGATTTATATATGTATAGAAGTATGTGGTTGCGCTATGAAAATAACATCACGCCGTTGTACTACTATCTGGCACTTTCCGTACATATAACCCCCTACGCTATAGGTCCCATAGCAAGCACGCGTGATAGAAAAATCAGTCAAAAAGATGTATATATCTAAGGCACCATATGCTTCTTTGGGCAGATAAAATGCATATTAAAGTTTTACATTAAAAAATTAATATAAATAAAAAGGATTCTTCGCAAGCTCGTATATAAATATTAACACAAAAAAATGTTCCAAATAAAAGTTGTACCAAATCAGTTCCTTCACATTTTAAAATTTGTAATTATACAGGATGTCTCATTTCTTCTGGACGTTACCTAACATCATTTTTTATTATTGAATTTTTGAATTCCTCGTTAGTTTTTATGATCTATTTTGATATAAAAAATATTGGGTTTAAGTCGTCCCGTTATTTTATTTTTGCTTTTTTTAGCGTTTGCAGCGTATTCGAAAATATATCTTCGAAACTAAACGTAATAAGATGCAATTTTCTCCTTTCAATTAAGCATGATAAATGTAGGTATCTTCTTCAGTAGCTATTTAATACAATTAAGCAGAAAAATGGTAATTCAAGTTCAAAGTTTTCAATCGCGTATATTTTGACTTTTCTAAATGGAACTCTGTTAAATTTGATGCAGGCAAATGCAAAATTTAGTTACCCTTCAATTTTATAAAGTCATGCTGTCTATTTTGAGCAACGTTTAACATAAAATTATCTAAATACCTAAATTATTATAAAGTACTTAAAAAACAATATTTAGAAAAAAAAATTTCAACTATAATTTTTATGAGAATATGATTTTTTTAACTCTGCACAAAACGTAAAAGATGCGTACTAATAATAAAATAATAAAAACAAATGCTTATAAAATCATAGTTTGGGAAATGCTATAACATAGATACCTGTATTTAAACCGATATTTCTCGGAAACGGATTACTTTTTCGATATAAAACATTATCATTTGTTCATAGAAGACTCAATCAAATTTTATCAAATCATTTATAATTTTATCAAATTTTACTGTTTAAATTGGAATATGCTATATTCCATGTAAAAATGCAAAACATTTTTCAAAAAACTTCCATGTAAACAGTTTTGATGTAGTTAGTCTATTTCCGGTAGATAAAATATTAAACATTGTCAAACACAAATTACAAAACTATACGACTTGTATAACCAACTAAATTCCAAATCATTAAACAAGGGACGTTATTTATAAGAATAGAAAACATTTAATCGCATTTTTAACCTTCGATGTTTTCTTAATTGCAGTTTTAACGATATTGCATATTAAAAAATAGGGGCCATGGTTAATACAAACTGATTAGCTTCTGTTTATATCGAACAAATATCAGTTCTTTGTTCGCCTACGAAGAAGTGTTAGGAAGAACATAAGGAAACTGTAAACATACCACCAACAACAAGGATCAATGAATAATATGGAATCAGTTGTAGAGAAAACAAAATGTGAGTAGCTTAGTTCAAGTATAAATATTCTGATATTTAAATTTTCTATTTTTAAATGTAATGTATATTATACGATAGTAAGGCTTTTCGTTCTACTATGAATATAACTACAGGTGAGTAATATATGATAGCGATTTAACCCTCGATTTAACATTTCTTTTTTTACTGCCACTCATTTTGGCTGCCACTTGCTCAAGTCAAGTCTTTTTAAATACAATTAATTTCAATTTTAGTGTTTTGTTAGCTTCTTTGACTTTAAACTTTATTAAAAAATACAAAATATTTCTTCAACTCAAGTTTTAAGAGGCGTTTATTCATTGGTTGTCAATTTTTTCTTATTTCTAGATTCTTCTGCTCAAGAATTTGTGAACAGTGTATTAAGTGAAGGTGAGAAATATACTTGTGACGACTTATCGGAGGATTTTCGTAATCGTGATGATTTACCTCCATTTTATGATGAAGAATTATTTAGAAGGTTTGTAGGTATATACATCAATAAATAGCATGAGTACGCACACAAAGATTTATCTGCAGATTAACTATACAAAATATGTTCCGCTGGCTTGCTGTTACTTGCACCCTTAATAGGAAGATAATATAGTTTTCCCCCTTGATTATTTACCAAGTCAAACGTTTTGTGACATTTAACAGTAGTAAGTCTAATAATGAAAGACATATAAGAAAACAGAAAAATAGTTATTGAGAGTAATATACTTTGTGACAGCAGTTATATAAAATGGATTAAAAATTGATTTACTCAAAAATTCAACCACATATCGCTATTAAAAGTGTTAATGAATAATTACAGTCCGACAAAACTTTTTTTTGTTTTTTGGTCAAATCTATAATTTCTTAAAAATTTTCACGGACTGAAACCAAATTTGATGAGTAAAAAATATTTATCGTTTAGATTTTGGTAATGACAGGGACAATAAGTCTCTTCTATATTGAATGTGCAGTTATCTCAATACTACCTTTGGTAAATATGTAGAATATTGACTCTATCCCGATCTTAACCGAGATGACTGATGATTCCTATATATTTTTGGATACTGAACACGAATTTGATGTGCAACCTTGGCGGACGGCCCTTTTTAGGGTAAAAAAGGCAAACAAGGGCAAAAACATAGTTATGTTTAAAAAAGAAGTTTAAAGTGTTTTCCTATGTATTTTTGGGCGTTCAACATAAATCCGATATCAAAAAAGTACACTTCGCCTTTCCAATGGCAATGATGCAATTGTATTGAAAAAAAGTTTGCAGCTGAACATTTTGCAAAGGTCCTTTTATTGTCATGCACGTGTTTTTTTAGCTGTAAATTCGCCTGTATAGTTGTTGCGATGTCAATTGGAATCTGTGAATCTTAAAGCACAGGACCGTCTGCACTTCTCTTCAAATTTATTCGTATACTTTAGCAATGATTTGTCTCGTAATTTATACTCGAATAGCCATTGGGCGAGTCAGGTATTGGTAGGCAGTCCGCCTGATGTAGAATCGACGGCGGCGCACTGGTCGTCAAAGCAAACCTGTATTGGTCCATTAGGTCGTAAATCATTTTTTGCATGGTATTCTATAATTAGTTTGGTGTCAAACGCGGTTCACTTGGCTTTGTCAGTGCCGGCGCCGCCGTAGAGAGCAGTGCTTGGCGTGGTATATTTATTGTTAATTATTAGTTAATATTATGATCTGTTCATATCGTAACCAGTAAAGGGTAATAGTTATTAAAATAAATATTATATGTAATTACCTAGTAATTCAGCTTGGCTTTCTGGAGACCCTTTCAAACGGAAGGTAACGAAATAACCCGGAAAAAAGACAAATACTAAAGCCGGTTTTTGTCGAAAGCATCGTAACAAACTCAAGAGTTTAAAAACAAAGATTTACATGTACAAAATCAACGTATTATTTTAAATATATATGACCTCCTCGTTGGTCCTTGCTGAGCAATAACATATTTCATTATAAAATAGGTTAACTTAAAAGTAAAACCAAAAATTTAAGTACTTTTAGTACTTCAATCTAAAATTGGTAAAAGAAATATTTCAAATATACAAATAATAGGTAATAAATCTATTTTTTTTTTCTATTTAAATACTGTATCATTAATATAATATTAGAAACGTTAGGTATGACACTTATTTAATAAGAAATCAAGACATCTATCCCGTTTTCTGTTCTATACTACTATTTTTTCTAAGAGATGCGATTGCAGAAGTACTGGCTACTACTTTATCATTTACTGTCAATTTTTTGTTTTTACATTTTAGGTATCGGTAATAGATAACTAATGTTTTCTTCTTACTAACACGTTTACGGTATTGTAATAGAATACACGTGTGAAGTAAACGGAAATATTATTCTCTTTTGAGTTCAGGCCTAACCCAAATCGATAAAATCATGTTTTACTAAAAAATTTAAAAAATCTAAAAACCTTAACATTTGGTATTTGAAAATTACAAGATAATGTTTCAGGAAAATCTCACAATTTAAATTTATCAAATGTGATGCGGTCACTTGCCAAATATTTGTCAAATATAAGCAAATACTGTATCATGTGGATGCTGTTTATCGATGGACATTTTTTCACTTGCGAAATATTCGCCAAAGGTCACGAACAAAACATGTGCGGCAATTGTTTCAATAACCTCATTAATAGTGTACATTTCCATATACTGGAATTAGTNCTATAATTAGTTTGGTGTCAAACGCGGTTCACTTGGCTTTGTCAGTGCCGTAGAGAGCAGTGCTTGGCGTGGTATATTTATTGTTGGTATAATACTTATTATTAATTATTAGTTAATATTATGATTTGTTCATATCGTAACTAGTAAAGGGTAATAGTTATTAAAATAAATATTATATGTAATTATCTAGTAATTCAGCATGGCTTTCTGGAGACCCCTTCAAACAGAAGATAACGAAATAACCAGGAAAAAACCCAAATAGTAAAGCCGGTTTTTGTCGAAAGCATCGAAACAAACTCAAGAGTTTAAAAACAAAGATTTGCACGTACAAAGTCAACGTATTATTTTAAATATATATGACCTTCTCGTTGGTCCTTGCTGAGCAATAACATATTTCATTATAAAATAGGTTAACTTAAAAGTAAAACCAAAAATTTAAGTACTTTTAGTACTTCAGTCTAAAATTGGTAAAAGAAATACTTCAAATATGTTATTGGCTAAATGAACAAATAATAGGTAATAAATCTAATTTTTTCTATTTAAATGCTGTATCATTAATATAATATTAGAAACGTTAGGTATGACACTAAGACACAATAAGAAATCAAGAAATCTATCCCAAGAATTTACAAACAGCAACATTTTTCTGGACGCCTATGGATTCCGTCAAATTTATGAGTTAATTGTTTCTATGCGGTTCCAACTGATATCGTAACGACTATACCATGTATGCTACTTCTTTTCAAAACACCATGTATATTTAACAATGGATATGCGCTAGTAACTAGCGCGGACAGACATTTAAGGTTACGCTAACTTGTCCAGGGGCGGGGTATGAAAGAGAGAGAAAAGAAAAGAGTTTTTACCACGGAATTTTATAATATTCAAGTTGAGGGTTTTAACAGTTTTAATTATTTTCGTTTTCTGTTCTATACTACTATTTTTTCTAAGAGATGCGATTGCAGAAGTACTGGCTACTACTTTGTCATTTACTGTTAAATTTTTTGTTTTTTACATTTTAGGTACCTAATGGTAATAGATAACTAATGTTTTCTTCTTAATAACAGGTATTGTAATTGAATACACATGTGAAGTAAATGGAAATATTACTCTCTTTTGAGTTCAGGCCTAACCCAAATCGATAAAATCATGTTTTACTAAAAAATTTAAAAAATCTAAAAACCTTAACATTTGGTATTTGAAAATTACAAGATAATGTTTCAGGAAAATCTCACAATTTAAATTTATCAAATGTGATGCGGTCACTTGCCAAATATTTGTCAAATATAAGCAAATACTGTATCATGTGGATGCTGTTTATCGATGGACATTTTTTCACTTGCGAAATATTCGCCAAAGGTCACGAACAAAACATGTGCGGCAATTGTTTCAATAACCTCATTAATAGTGTACATTTCCATATACTGGAATTAGTAATGTCTCTACATTCGACAATTGGTATTGGTATATCTTTTATGTTTTATCCAAATAATCTGCAATTATTTGACACATTTATGTTACACGAATGTTTTACGATTTACGTCAAGGTATATGCTTTACAGCGCAGCGCCTCTGTCGGTTAGTATAAGCAAATATTTGTAATANAAATTTATCAAATGTGATGCGGTCACTTGCCAAATATTTGTCAAATATAAGCAAATACTGTATCATGTGGATGCTGTTTATCGATGGACATGTTTTCACTTGCGAAATATTCGCCAAAGGTCACGAACAAAACATGTGCGGCAATTGTTTCAATAACCTCATTAATAGTGTACATTTCCATATACTGGAATTAGTAATGTCTCTACATTCGACAATTGGTATTGGTATATCTTTTATGTTTTATCCAAATAATCTGCAATTATTTGACACATTTATGTTACACGAATGTTTTACGATTTACGTCAAGGTATATGCTTTACAGCGCAGCGCCTCTGTCGGTTAGTATATGCAAATAAAATATTTGTAATAATTTTATTTATTCTATAACCGGTTGCAGATGATACTTGTACTTGTACTCACCAAATACTTATCAAATGTAAATGTGCCAAATAATTACAGCTTGCATCATACACACAATGTACAGGGTGGCGGAGAACTGACATTTAGCCGTAATTATAGAAAAATTGAAAGAGCAAATAGGAAGCCGCGGGCGGGGATCTTTCTCTCTTTAATAAAAGTGGTTGAGAAAATAATGACCTTCGTATGACAAGCCATGTGTAAAAATAGCAAAAATTTCGTTGACGTCAGAGCCCTTAGTCAAATACTCACATTATCACGCCATAAAGATTCTCGCTTGTGATTTCCTAAATTCATGTCGCCCTGTACATATGTAAAATATGAGCTCATGAAAGATACCTCCTGAAAAGTTCCGAAACGTTCTACATACGATGTGTATGCTTACCCATTGTCCGCAATCGTACATTTGGGCAGATTCGTTTCTTTGATGTGTTCTTATTTACCGTTTCACATACCTACCAAATAAAAATCACTTATTGAATAGTCCAAACAGCCCTTTGTATAGCTTTGGCCAACATTAGGAAGTTTTTACATGTTTTCAAATGTATCAATAGGTACCATCCACACGATGCGATATTTGTTTATATTTACAAATATGTGTACTCTGACAAATCTGCTCATATGTTAGAATTCTCAACGTAGGCGTCGTCTGCATTAATACATTTGTTTACTTATATTTCACAAATATCTGGCTAATTACTGCATCATCTGGAGCTGACTCAACATAAAGATTATTACTAAATACCACAAGCGGAATATTGTTACTGATTACAAGAAATTTCTATCTTGCCCTACCTTTCATACTTTCATAATACCTAATATTGTTAAATATTATTTTAAAATGTAAAACAGTTCAAGTTAATACCTGTTCTTTAAATTTCATAGTAATTATAATAGTATATTATGCAACAAGTTTTATAAACGACACTTTAGTCACGAGTTTATTTAGGCACGAGCGGAGCGAGTGTTTAATAAACGAGTGACTAGAGGAGTTTATAAAACGAGTTGTATACTATACATTTTCTACGACCAAGACAACAATGAATATTGAAACGTTTACGTGTCTTTTATTAAATCTGCAACATTAATCGTAACATAAACATGTATGTAATATAATCTTACTAAATTAACTTATTTAGGTAAATATACATTAACAGTTAAATTAGAAAAATTACTACAGTTATCTGCGACGGTAGTGGAGCGCCACCCTCCATGGCGCTTGAGGGAAGTGATGTCAGCTCCAGAGTCTACTAATATAGTGGCCGATGATCGTCTTAGACAATGGCCTGTATATCTGGTAGGGTCTGGCAATTTCAAAAACTGGGCAATCTCTCGGGCAATGTTACCAAATTTCTTTATTCCAATAGGCTGTGTCGTACACTTGCCTCGTTGATAGTTTAAAAAAAAACGGGTAACGTTAGTAGGCAGATTTGAGGGGCGGAGTTGCATGTACATTTTACAAGTCTTATAGAAGTTTCCTCCGATGACAAATTGCCTTTCCGTTTTAGTTTTAGTATCCGGAATGTGGACTAAAAAAGCTATACCTAGGTCATCAATTTTCCTTTGTTTTGATTTTCATTAGTTCTTCTCGCCAGCAAGCCCCCATTACTCCAAAAATCATTGCAACCTAAAGCAGAAAATAATACATACCGATATTTAACGCATATGAACAGTTTACCTTTGTGAATAAAAATTTTTCATCTGGTGCTGTAGTTATAAATTTTTGTATTTGCTGGGATGTTAGAATCTTGGACTTTTTTGGTTTGTATCCATCTGATGTGCGTTTCAAAAATGAACACAATTTTGGGTATTTACTGATGTCAACATTGTTTTTGAGGTTAAGTGTTGAACGGAGCATGGAATATATTGCTCACAAAGAAGATGGCTTCATACTTGCTGAAAGTTGTTGAAAGTAGGCGAGCAAAACGTTTTCGGAGTACATTTTTATTTGCTTTTCACTGCACCATTTGGAGAACAGATTGTAAGCCCGTTCGTACTGAATTCGCGATTTCTCGGGCAGCAAATTATTGGTGGCTCTAATCGCTTGTTCTTTAATTTCTGGGGGTGAGGCGGTAAATTCTTCATTTTCTTGTTCAATTGCTTCCATTATCTTGCAAATTACGAATCACTTACAAATGTAATAATTGCTTGTCAAAAGTCAAAGTTGACGTTTCGTGCAGCCATCACAAGACGTGACTAAGAAAACTTCGGCCCTTGATTAATAAGGCGGGAACATCCAATATGGTTCAAACAATGTTTAATGATTTGTCGTATTTGAACTGATATTTAGCGTACCGATTGGCCGTGTAAAATGTGCTATTTTAGAGATGGGAGTAGAAAAAAACTATTATGAAATTGGCCTTTGAAATCTGGATCATATTACTACTCATCATCTACTAAATGATGTGTCAATTTGATGATTTGTCTATCTCCCACATCTGCAATTTAGACTGTCACAGGAATTCTCACCATTATAGTTTATCCCACAGTTGTAACCATGCAGCTACTAAATCCGACGGTACAACTCAATGCTACAGCAGTACTAATTCATCTATTAAAAAACACCTCTTCTATTAATAAATTAACATTAACATAATTTTTTAATATTTCATAGGCCAATCAATAGAGGTTTTATTTGTGACAAAAATTCTAGTAGCAAACGGACTGTGCTATCATATAGAAGACAGTCTGTGGATATATGCTTAATGTTTCCGAATCCAACTTACGATTAATTAATTTTTTATAAACATTTTTATGCAAAAAAAACCGCATTTTTTTTAGTTTTTTGCTTATAAAACCTAAACTAACGAAGCAGTCTGGATGCTATAAAGAGACAATTTGTAGAGAATAAAAATACGAATAAAACGAGAGGTCGATAGATCCGATCGGATAATTAGAAACGAAGAAAACCCGGAAAAATCGGAAAATTTAGCTTTTTCTTTTAATTCATTACTCCGCCATTTTTTAAGTTGTAGAGCTGACCCTGTGCACAAAAGTAGTATGTACTTTAAGTGTGCACAAAGCAGATGCTGTCGAACCATTAATTTTGGCACAATAACAAATTTGATTTTTTTGGTGCACTATTTTGCAAAGCTTCTGAATGCGTTGGAGGTGGTCTGATTTTAATTTTTCGGCCGGAAGTAGAAGTATAATACTATATACTGTACAAAAAGTATATTCTAATTTTCCGATAAAATGATGCGAAATAAGTGAACATTTCCTCCAAACATGCTCAAAAACGGACGAGCGTGCGTACGCGGACGAGTAGTGGGGGAAGGTCGGGAGATGAGGGGCAGTGGATATAAAGATACAAATTTGAATATTGTTAATTATAGTATAGTTCAATATTATTGTAATAAATAATACCAATACGCGGAATCACAATGATGTGGAACCTGTGAACACTCCTTGTTCCTGCATTATTTGACATTTACGCGAAATCTTGACATCAAACGTGAATTTGAAAGTTTTCTTACAAAAGGTACTTTTCTGTTCCAAAGAATACATATTAAAGGAAATTTTATTACATTTTGTATACAGGTTCGGAAAGTCCCCATGGTACATCGGCCGTTACGTGAGAGCGATAAAGTAAGTCATAGAAATCCGTCCGATAGACAAGGATGGTTACATTGAAGACATTTCATAATCTGAATAGTCACTCCCACTTCTAACCCAAAACGGGCGGTGACTATTCAGATTATGAAACGTCTTCACTATAGCCATCCTTGTCTATCGCACGGATTTCTTTACTTTACTCTCGTTCTTATGTAAAGGCAGATGGACCATGTGGATTTTCCAGCCCTGTATATCACCACTTACAATAATATTAAACTATGCGCCAAAAATGCGTTTTTTACGTAAAAATGTTTATAAAAAATTTATTAATGGTAAATTGGAGTAGGAAACATAAGCATATATCTACAGACTGTCTTTTATATGATAGCACAATCCGTTTGCTACTAGTATTTTTTGTCACAAAATCACTGATTTAATGCTCTATTGATTGGCCTATTCAATATTTTCCAGGGGTCAAAAATTCTTCCACAAACATATATTTGGATTATTCTTATCCAAATGTCTTGGACTAGTAGCTGTGTTGGCAGTGCCATCAATCCTAAAAGTATTAATGTTTACCAGAATGTCAGGTACTGAGTTGACAGCTTACAAGAGGTACGTGTCAACCATTTTACACATGATGGTCTGGTATGATTCCGACTTCAAACCTGGATCCAAGTAAGTAAACAGTTAATAAAGTGAACGTATTATTTCAGTATGTAAAATAATAAGTTCTCTGCACGGTAAAAAGTAATGTTAAAACTACATATCAAATGCCAAACAGATTTGAAGCGTTTGAAGTTCTGCTAAAGCTTTAAGAAGCTGTGACTCGTATCCCTGGTTATTTACAGTACGAACAACTAACCAAACATGATACGTATTTTAGGTGCTCTATGTTAGCGAGCATATTATAATGAGAATATCGATATCAGAACATCTAATGGTAACTGCATACATGATATACAATTTTAATATTGGCTTCTTCATCGTGACGATAGATACTTGAATGACCAAATTTATATTTTTAGCTCTGACTTACTCATTTTGTGCATCTTATTTTCCCAACTGGGATTAGTAAGAGTATTTGAAAGAGACAGCACACTACAAACCAAATTTATATTTTTTGTTTGGGGGAAGGTCGGTAGCCCCGAACACTTAAATGAATTGCAAATAAAAATACGATAAACAAATTTTCTGTCTTTATTTTTAATCGTAGAATCAAACTAGGAACTTTTTAAACCATAAAAAAATTTTAAGGAAATATATTAAACATACTTTGGCCTTATTTTTTGACAACACAGAAGATGGCGGGTAGCCCCGGACACAGTAATCAATGGTAGCCCAATCGTTTTTTGGCCTTAAAAACATCACAATAATAATGACCCGACTTTTTGATCATTTTTAGGCATTTGTCTATGTTTACTCAAATGACTCAATTTTTTAAACATTCATAACGCATTTCTTTGGGTGGTAAATATCAATTTCTATGGTACTTATCAATCCGCCGTAATGGGTCCGCTGTTTTGCCGTTTTGGATTTAAGAATTTCCAAATTAAAACCTTATATTTGTTATTGGCGGCTTTGAAAAACTACCGAGTAACAAGTTTCAGCCATAATCTTTAAATTTTAAATACTTTTCCAATTTTTACATCCGCCATCTTTTATTCAGGAATTTTCGGACTCGGACTTCAGGGGAAAAGACTTAGCTATTCTTTTTAATCCAATATATGTTTTCTTGAAAATTTATTCCACACATGGATGTGTTACAGCTTTAATTTAAAAAATATATGTATCAAGCATATTAATATCCACGCCACTGGTCTGATTTGAGACTTATTTTTTCCGTTTAATAACATTAATTTGTTCAGTAGATGTTTAGATATAGATTCTTTTTTGAAACATCAACTACCTGAATCTCAAAAAGCGATAGAGTTTTAAAATGTATTTTTTTACTTTCTCTATGGGTTCTTAAGTTTCGTATATATATAAAATTCGAGATATAGTCGTATTCCAAGCCCTGTGTTTCGATATTGACCCATTTTTTTGACCCAGCCAATGGTCGAGGGTCTCTATCCCACATCCCTGTGAAGCAGAGTACACGGAACGATAATAGAAATTTTCACCAATGATTCGAATCCAACTGCTGAAATAGATCCTCAAATCGCCCTAAACATCCTAAGCCGCAGCAAATAATGTCAGCAATGCTGTTGGCAGAGCTGATGGCCATCGGACGACCAAAATTTCACCCCAGTTTCAAAACTCCCGGAATGCCACGAAATTCAAACTGGGACGGGAGATCAAGTTGCCTTACATAAATCTAAAATAACAGCATTATTCCACGATAAAGGCAAGTTAATTGTCATGAATCGACCAAATCCCTGAAAGACCAGATGTAAGAATGCATACCGAAGAGCAGTTCTCGAGGATTGACGGAGCCACCATGAAGCGGGATCGAACGTCGACTCTGATATATTGCAGTCCTCTTACCAGAGCAGAAGTTTCCGGTCGGTGTGTGTATACGAGCCGAATTCAAGCGTATTAGCTGCCTTTCCATACCTTCGCCTTTCTTGTTTATTTGAAGGAAACAAGTCACAAGGGTATACTGAGGATTCCACACAACATGACAGGTCAAACAAACCTAAAAATCAAATACGTTTTCTGAACTCGTTCAACGAATTCCAACTTTTACCTTGTAATTTCATTTGATATACCAATATTTTGTGGATACGAATGCAAATATTCAGAACATCTCTAACTTAAAGCGTTTGCGGAAGACATGTACACAAGTCTTGTAAATCTAACTGGAACTGTGTCATCAGTTATTTTCTTATTTCTTTAGTTTTTAAGATATTTTAGAATTCCTTTTAACTCACTTTTGTACACAAATAAATATTTCATCATGGAAAATCTATGAATTTATTAATAAATATGTTTTAGATTGTGGAAGTCCATTGCGGATGTCAGAAAGCGACACAATTCGGCAAGTAATCGAAGCTGTTCGGCGGGGATGAACAGAATAACTCAGAAGGATATGGCCATCACCCAGTTCGGTTTTATGGGGATCTCTGTATGTAGAAGCAAAATGGTGGGAATCCATAAGGCTTCCGATGAAGAATGGGAAGGATTTATCCACATATGGAGAGTCATTGGATATCTAATGGGAATTGAAGATAGGTATTTAGTATTCATATTCATTGAATTAAACATTACATATCTAACAAAGTTTTCAGCTTCACACTGAGTATATTTTTTGAGTATACTGTTATATCAACTTGAATAAATCAACTTTAATAATAAAGGATGGAAATACTCAGTCAGTATGTAATGAGTCTACAACAGTGCAAATAAGTCGAACACGTAAATGTTAAAATTTGGACAGAATTTCAAACCAAACTCACGATTTGAATTTAACAAGGTTTTTATTATACATTTGCTTAAAATCCACTAGTCAAACGATTTCCAATTCATTGTCATACTTTGACAGGAAATTTATTTTCTCTGTTTCTTTGACTAACGACTTGGAATTTTAGTTTTGTAAAAATTATTATTAATAACTGATTTCCTTACAAGGATTTACAAGTCAATACTCGGATATCATGTGGATCGGGTAGTTGAATTATTTCTATCTTGTCGATAAAATCTTTAGCGCTTTTGAGTTGGTGTTCTATCTTCCACTCTTCCCTACTAGACGTTTAATATAGTTTGACAGGTACCGAGCGAGTAGATGAGAATAGCAGTCAGTATTGAGAGATGTGGTATATTTGGTTAGTAGATTTTTCGAAAACGTCCTTAAGTTACTTAAAATTAGATTCTTGTTTAGTTTTTTTTTCTGTAAATTATGTTTTGTGGTTTCTCGGGAATTCTAGAAGCTCAAATACTGTGATCCTTCTGTATATACTTCTTCATTTTCCTTAAAGGGATTATGTTTTATCTTCTTTTACACCAGGTCTTTGATTATATATTTTTTTGTGTCCTAGTGATAAATAACTTTTCATAAACTCAGCTCCGGTATAATTTTCTGTTTTAGATTTAATCTCTGCAGTGGAACAGTTGAAGAAACTAGAGAAAGATGCAATATTCTAATGGAGCAAGTCTTTCGGCCAAATATAGAGCAAAAGGACGAAAATTTCATAAAAATGGCACGTAACATGATCCACGCACTGAAGTGTATAAACATATTTATAAAATTCGAAACGATAATGTATTACTTGCATATATTATCTCAAGATGAAAATAACAACATGAAATTGCAGTCGACATGTTATAAGTTGAATTCCTCGCAAAAATCTAATTTAAATTTCCTTATAACAATCATGTACATGCTCAGTTGGAATTGGTTTAGGATATTCCAAAATTATTGCCATATGCTAGTGTTATGGTTAATGAAGGTCTTTCCATTGTTACCAGCTTACCAGTTTGGTTTATCTAATGCGCGAGTACGTATTTTATCCAATAATAAAACTAATTAAAACGTGCCATAACGTTGAGTTTTAATATCCATTAAATGTTATAGCAGTTGTGATTTGTTTTATTTCATTTCCACAATAGCAGTGGTAGCTTATGTTGAGTTTCAAATAAGAAATATTTTATTTAGTACGTATTTTGGCCAATAATAAAACTAATTAAAATGTGTCATAATGTTAAGTTTTAATATCCATTAAATGCTATAGTAGTTTTATTCATTTCCATAATAGCAGAACGGTAGCGTGATTTATCAATTAGAAGAGCAGTTTTAATAAAAAGTTATTTCTGCCTACAGCAAATTCACAGAAACTTCTTTCAACTTGTTCATTGTTCTTTCATTAAACATGTCAGCTTTACAATAATGTAATTATTTTTGTTTAAAATATACAATATTTCATTTTATTTATTATTGGCAGTAATTAACTCAAATATTTATTCCAACATTTACGTATATTTCACTTACTTCTACTCCTCTGTACTAAGGAATCATACTTAAATTGTGGTAGCTGTTATTTTCATTACATATACAAGAGATACGGAAAAAGTGTAACAATAATAAAATTATAAAAAAACGTTCTATATTGTTTAATCTCTAGGTACGTTAAAACCTTTCGATAAACCAGTTTCTTAAGTCGATTCCAGATGATGTGATCACTATTAACAATTTGTCATACGTAAACAAATGCTATATCGTAAGGAGATAGTTGTCCTGTGCTCATATTGTAAGTGCGCAGATCCATTCCATGTTTCACTCATGTTTCCAATCCCACACCAACATCGGCAATAAAGCCCGAAAAAAAATAAAAAACCTTCCGACAACGCAACCACTATTCAAGGACATGAGGCCTGTCGTGACACTCATCCAGACAGCACCAGTTAAAGATCGAAGTTTTCAACTAACTTTCAACTAAGTCAATACAGAAGTTTATAGAGCCGCATCACCAGAACCAGAACATTCAAATTCAAATTGCAACAAGGGACCAAGGTGCCGTACTAAACGCAATCAATCAATCAGATTTCAGACAGGCGGTTGCCTAAATGCAAAAGGGATGACGTGTATCGAAGATCTACCTCAGGACTTAGCGGAACCATCGCGAACTGGGTGCGAACGTCGACTATGATTTTTCCCAGACAAGTAACCAGGATTAGAAATGGCCAATACTCGTTATATGACTTTCCAAATCGCATACCATTGCATTGTACGTTCAATACTGTAATAAATACATAATACTCTGTATTTCAAATACTCCGAATAAACTTTTATTTAGATCATCATAATATAGCGTCCATATCATTCAATATTAATTACGAATCTGTGGCCAAAGTTCATGGTATATATAAACTTTGCTGTGTCCGATCCAAAGTAGGTACTCACTGATCAAAGGCGGTGAAGCCGCCAGAGGAAAAAAGCGACCCAAGAACAAAAAATTAAAAGTGCTAAAAAACAAACAGTTTTAGGTGAAAGCTTCAGTACAAATGCCGACCTCTATAAATTACATGCAACAAAAAGAGCGTCTCCTACTCTATAGAACTCATGTCAAGATTCCACGCTTTAGAACGAACTCAGAGATTAAAAAGTGTCGACCAGCGAAAGGCTCTCAACAACGTACATACCCGAACTACAGCTTGATCAAATTTATCTTGTCCGTAAGTTTGAGATACGCTTTAAATATATAACATAAAACCTCAATAAATCACTATATTTATCAGACCTAAGTAAATTTTTTGCACAAAGGGTACTTGCCCTACCATTAAGATCTTTACCACACTGCGGACTATCTTCTTGATCTGCGCATCTCGTGGACAAGATGAGTTTAATCAAGCTGTACGGTGCGGTGTGTTGTTAAAAGAATCCGTAGTAACACAATTCATCTATTACTGGCAGCCAAATTTCTATGGTTGCATTCCAATAATGTTTTTATTAAATTTGTAGAGTAAATATATAGCCCAGTCGTATTGTCATTTAACCGGGAAAAAATTAGGGTCCACAATTTTATTGTTCTAACCTTTAGGGGGGGTCAATAGTAGTGTAAATTCAGAATCGCGACTGAATTCCACCCCTGCGTCAGCCGCCATCTTGAATTTAAGGAAAAATCGTTTTTGTTCAATATCTCGGCCATTTTCAACTTTACAACAAAAGTGGTAAGTACTTAAGTTGTTGCAAATGCGATTTTCTACAACTTCTTTTTTTACAAATTTTATCGTGCGATCGATATTTTTCCAGTTAAGGGGGAAAATAGTGACAAAGTATAATTATTGAATTATCTCGTTTGTTATTGACTATACGACATAAATGTACATAAACAAAGTTGGAAAGAATTATATTTTCTACAATTTTGATCCCTTTGATTTTTTCGCTATAACCAATATTTAAGGTACTACGCTTGCGGTAAAGACACGAGCGTAGGATCTTGCGGGAGTTGGTTTCAAAGGAATTGTTTTTGCTCAATATCTCGGGCATTTTCAACTTTACAACAAAAATGGTAAGTACTTAAGTTGTTGCAAATGCGATTTTCTACAACTTCTTTCTTTACAAATTTTATCGTGCGATCGATATTTTTCAAGTTAAGGGGGAAAATAGTGACAAAGTATATTTATTGAATTATATCGTTTGTTATTGACTTTACGACATAAATATACATAAACAAAGTTGGAAAGAATTATATTTTCTACAATTTCTGATCTCTTTGATTTTTTCGCTACTACCAAAATTTAAGGTCCTACGCCTATGGCAAGCCTAACTAAACTCAAGAGATCAACATTCCATAGGCCTGACGTCACCGACAGCTGGCCATGAACAAGAATGGTCCAAACTTTATAAGAAAAAATAAATTTTAAAAAAACATGGCTTACACCTTTAACGCTTGCAAGAAACTTTTATAAAGAGGAAGACGGCAGAAGTCGCAACTATCTTGCAAGCAATGACACGTGGATTAGGCCTATTGGGAATACCACGTAAAAAAACGCACCTGAAACTCTACCCCGGCGGTGGTGTGGAAGAGTTTGCAAAAACGATTTTCATATTGCTCTCCGTCTTTACTGTAAAGTTGAAAATGGCCGAGATATTGCGCAAAAACAATTCCTTTGAAACCAACTCCAGCAAGGTCCTACGCTCGCGTCTTTACCGCAAGCGTAGGACCTTAAATATTGATAGTAGCGAAAAAATCAAAGAGATCAAAATTGTAGAAAATATAATTCTTTCCAACTTTGTTTATGTACATTTATGTCGTATAATCAATAACAAACGAGATAATCCAATAATTATACTTTCACTATTTTCTCTCTTAACTTGAAAAATATCGATCGCAATAAAATTTGATTTATTGATTAAAGAGCTTCTGTAAGCTTTACTTATTTTTTATCTGTAACTCTCAATACCGAAATAATCCCGGCATCCCGGGATTGATTAGAAATAAAGGCGGGGCTCAAATTTCCCACGAACCAGGTAGTGGGTAAAGATACCATAGGAAGTTAACCCAGTAAAATTGCACAGTTAAAATTGCCGGTCCTTCAACTTATACCGGACACACATTCCGAAGGAGTTTTGCCACTATTCTGGCAAATAGGGCTTAAAATCCCGCAATGAATTGAAAATCCCGGTATTTGCGGCACTTGACGTTGAAATCCCGCAGGATCTCGGTATAAACCAGATCCCGGGATAATATGATATAGTACCCACATTTTTTATATATTAAATAAAACAAGTATAAAATTAATAAACTACTCTCATTTATTTTAAATATACAAAAAAAAGTTCTTTTTTGAACACCAAACATAAATAATTATGCAGATTAGGCTGTATTATGCACTCCAACACAGCTTAAAATATACCTACTTACAACATAAACAAAATGATACGTACCTATTTAACATAAAATAACGCAATTAATATCAATTGAAAAAATAATTTATTTTTATTTATTGGTTTTGCTGAAAATATTTCCGAAGAAAACAATATACTTACGCTGTGGTCTGATAAGGAGCTCCGTATGTCATTTACTAGATAACCGGCAGCAAACGAACCGGATGGTGAGAAGCAGCTGTGCACAATCCCGGAATCCCGCAGTCCACAATGGGATCTATTTAAAAATTGGCACATGATCTCGGTATTTCGGGATCCCTGTATACCGGGATTGCAAGCCCTACTGGCAAACCAAGGAAAAGAAATTTTAAGCCTTAAATGACACAGTGGGTGGCGTTCGTCCTCTGTAGCTGAGGGCTGTACACTCTGTGGAAAATAAATCAATTCTTAAAGAAGGTTTTACATGGAAATTATCGAGGAAAGTCTGCACTAATAAAAAGTGATATCGCAGCCGCAGTTATTCAAACTGTGTGTTTTAAACGCGAATTCCATTCCTCCAATAAATTTTAATAATTGTTCATAATGTAATTTTAATTTTGTCTTTAATAAAAACTGATTTTTAAAATTCTACATTTATTAGATTACCGATCGCTAATTTGTAAACGTCACAAAATCTCTCAACAAATTCAGTAAAGGTGTCAAATTTTCCGAGCGTGCAAAAAGTATTTAATATAATATTGTATAAAAACTGGAAAATAATTGTCATGTTAAATCCGATAAATTATATCTTCCTCTACAAAATGTCCAATTAGCATAAAAAATAAACCTGCGTTTCCGGGAAAACTAAATTTTGCTGACAGTCCGCATCTGTCAATTTTTGCCTAAAAATCAAAATATTTCGGAAACGGTCAATTCTAACTATGGAGTGTACTACGTTTTCAACTTAAAAATAAATGCTTTTTCAAAAAAATGCAATATGTAGGGGGTTCCATTTAAAATAAGAAAGTAGGTTAAAAATATGTATTTTAGCTTGGTAGGCCCCACGGCCAAACCACTACAATTTCAAATAAATCCTTAGAATGGTTTCCCAGATATCAATCGATGGAGTTCGTGGTAAGACACTCTGTACAGTTAGCAATAATTCATTGACGATTTTTCGTTACCAGTACCAAGCCTGCAATGTTGGTTGCCTAAGTTCAGCGGTCAAGTTGCTTGTAAACATTTATAAAAACTATATCTGTCACTCTTATGTTAATTAATATAATATATATTAATTTTATTGAATATTTCTATGTATACAGGTTCGGAAAGTACCGATGGTCCATCTGCCGTTACGTGAGAGCGATAAAGTAAGACATAGAAATCCATGCGATAGAGAAGGATGGCTATAATGAATGCGTCTCATAGTCACAGCCCGTTTCGCCCTTCCACAAATTCTTATTTGTGGAAGGGCGAAATGGGCGGTGACTATTAGACGCCTTCATTATAGTTATTTTTCTCTATCGCACGGATTTCTATGACTTACTTTATCGCTCTCACGTAACGGCAGATGGACCATCGGTACTTTCCGACCCTGTATATATTTTTTTATTACTATATTTTAAATATGTACCTACACCCCGGACAAGCTTGCTTAAGGGGATTATGTTTATTTACTGCTTATTTCCTTTATATAATGTATTGTAGTATTTATACAGGGTGATTAATTAACAATGGGAAAATCGAAAGCTGAAGATACTACACGTAAAATGGTGACCATTGGCGTAAACATGCCTTATCCGAAAGTTGGTAATTTCGGAAATACAGGGTGTTGAAAGTTAAAGTTTTAAATCGTTTTTTTGCGATTATTCTGAAACTATGTAGGTTAAGAAGAGATAAAATTTGTGAAACTATATTTTTTTAAGTGACGAATAAGATGCGTGTTGCAATTTCAGCGTTGGTCATAGAGGGCGCCACTTACGACCAATTATACCGAAAATTTAGTTAATAATTTTTTACCCTGTATGTCTAATATGAAACTTGATCCAAAACCTGAAAGAGCAATAATTTTTCCATTAACTGTGTACTCTTGTTTCATTTCCGTATCTCGATGCGCTTTCGAGAAAAATAGATTTAACGAACACTATGTTTTGATAATACGAGAAGGTAATAGCGAAACAAACTAAGTGTTTCTTCATGATTATTACAACAATTAACAATAAAACAAATGAAATACCTATGTAATAATGATTTAAATTGTTTGAAGAATCCACCGTCGATACTGATACACTTTACACGTTTTCTGAGAGATCTTCGAGTTTGAAACAACATATTGGGATTGCGTTGGCAGCGATTTGTATTCTTTGCCACAAGTCTTCATACGAACCAATAGATTCTTGGTAAACAATATCTTTCATTCGAGGCCAAATAGAAAAGGAGGATGAAGTCTGGTCTTCCGGGTGACCAAGCAAAAATGCTTCCACGGCTTGAAGAAGTTCTACTTTATTCAAGAAGAGTCATGTGGTTCATGCATGACGGAACTCCACCGTATTTTTCTCGGCCAGTGCGTGCATATTTAAATGTAGTTTTTCCAAATCGCTGTATTGGCCATGTAAGCATTTTTGCTTGTCCACCCAGAAGTCCGGACTTCAATCCTGTTGATTTTTCTTTTTGGTCTTGAATGAAAAATATAGTTTACAAAGAATCTATTGGTTTGTGTGAAGAGTTGTGCCAAAGAATACGAATCGCTGCCAGCGAAATTAGACGCAATCCCAATATGTTGTTTCTAACCTGAAGATATCTCAGAAAACGCTGTGTAAAGTGTATCAGTGTCAACGGTGGATTCTTCGAACAATTATTACTTTAAGTCATTATTACGTATTTCATTTGTTTTATATTAATTGTTGTAATAACATGAAGAAACACTTAGTTGGTTTGCTTTTAATTTCTCGTATCATCAAAACATAGTGTTCGTTATATCGATTTTTCTCGAAAACGGATTGAGATACCGAAATGAAACAAGAGTACATAATTAATGGAAAAATTATTGCTCTTTCAGGTTTTGTATCAAGTTTCATATTAGACATACAGGGTAAAAAATTATTAACTAAATTTTCGGTAAAATTGGTCGTAAGTGGCGCCCTCTATGACCAACGCTGAAATTGCAACACGCATCTTATTCGTCACTTAAAAAAATATAGTTTCACAAATTTTATCTCTTCTTAACCTACATAGTTTCAGAATAATCGCAAAAAAACGATTTAAAACTTTAACTTTCAACACCCTGTATTTCCTAAACTATCAACTTTCGGATAAGGCATATTTGCGCCAATGGTCACCATTTTACGTGTAGTATCTTCAGCTTTTGATTTTCCCATTGTTAATTAATCACCCTGTATAGGTAAATAATAGATATTTATTATACAAGGGAAAAAAGTACTAGATTTTAGCTCGAGTTTGTGTTGCCTCCCGACGTGAAGCTGAGGGAGACAAAAAACCGAGAGGTAAAATCTACTTTTTTCCCATGTATAATACACTATTTTTTTCTGTGACGGGAAAAACAATGATTTAATATTGAAAAACATTATTACAATATATTAGTCACTAAAGTTTTAAATTGGTAGGCTGTTATACTTATAGCGACAATTACATCTGCATTGCTAAGGAAACCTTTAAAGTAATCAAATATCTGTCAATTTAATTCTGTGATTTGATTTAAAAATTGCAAACTTAGTGGTTGTTTAGTAGTTATTTTGAATAATATAAAGTTAAAAAAATGTCTGATTCCGAGTTTTCTCTTACTCCACTGGAGTTAGTAGAAGCAGCGAAAGTAGCGTCACAAAAATTATTTTAAATATCTACCTTTACTTATGTATATTGTATATATCCGGGAAAAAAGTATTTACTTTTTTTTCGGGGAAAAAAGCAATTTCATAAAAAGTGACATTTTGTTACCTGTCAACAGAGATAAAATGTCAAACTTTTTTCCCGTTACAGAAAAAACTATATTATTATACTCGTATGGCATTTTTTTGTTCATATCTCCTATTAGACAGATAATGTTGATAAGAAATATAATTCATACTCTATTTGGTTACATAGTTTGCAATAAAATATTATTAATAGTCAGTAGACTATATCATTGTGTACAAAAGTCAATTTTGATAAAAAGTGGACTTACCCAATTTTTTTGATACTTTGCATTTTTCCAGAATAAAATAAGATGAAGTCATCTTGATGAAAATTTAAGTGTCTTAGTTTTAGTCGAGATTTAAATTCCATGCCATGGAATGTGAGAGGAAGATTCTCTCGTATGGAGATTAGCTGTAAAAGTGACCAATTACATGTGTGCACTAGTTAGTAGTTCGAGAAATAGCCAAAATGGCATTAGTGAGCAACCAGGATTGACGATAGAAGTTGTAAATAAACAGTGTAAAGACGGCACACATATTCCAATGTACCTGTTACCAGGCCTATCATTGTCAACGCATCATCACCTTTCGATGCCATTGTTTAAAACTGAGGGAATCGTTTAAATTTTACTGTAACGTGTGGATTGTTCAGATCTTCGGTATGCCTGCATAGGCCCACCGAAACGTGTATAGCCAAGTGTGCTTCCCTTCAAATGTGGGACATCAACTGCAGTAACGCCATCTTAATTGTACTCTATATTTCGGACACTTTTTACATAGAGAGAATCGTCCTTACCTTTACCCTCCATATTCCATACAAACCTCCACCTGGACACTAAAAATGGATATTTAGGAAAAGGAATGAAAAGGGTAACAAAATCAGTATAAAATATTTAGCCATATATTTTTGTATAATGTACACAGTACAATACAGTGCTGCTATATACTAAAAGACCTGTCAGTAGATCTATAAGCCTGACATGAAATTTCCTTACACTAAACTTAACAATAGAATTAGTATAATTATAGAAAAAGGACATATGTTACAAATATGATATACACAGACATCAGTCATATCAAATCTTATAGGGCTGGCTGCTAGCTACCACCCATCTCTTTATAACCCTCTAGTTGCCTGCTTATCCAATTTTATTTTACAACCAACAGAAAACAATCAGTATACAGTACAAAATACCACTACAGAATACAAGATTTCAACAACTTACAAAAATTACAATACCACCAAATTTCTCGTTGCACTAAAATGTTCCGCAAACAAGACTTGGAGAAATAACGTATATCTCAAATATTGGAGAAAAATTAAAAGAAAATTTCAGAGAAAAACCAAAACCAAAAAGAACTGAACAAAAAGAAGAATAATTTTACTTATCTGTAAAATTTTGACTACAACCTACTTGTAATCCCCAGAAATGTTTTTTTATAAAATACTTTAGAAAATTTATTAATCATGTCTGTAAGAAACATACAAGTATTGTGAATCAATTAATTGTAATTAGAGATGAAGGAGCATTCTTGTTAATATATGATTAGAATTATAATAATTGTCTTTAAAATTAATTTAATATGAATAAACAATTCTTATCAATATTCAGTTTGATTTTGTTTAAATTTATTCCATATGTTTTTAATGAAATCTACAGTTACTAAAAATATTCTATTATTTTAATTGAATTAAAAATCTAATTAATTATAACTTTATATTAAGAAATCATGGTTGTAAGGGTCTTTTAACTCAAGTTTGCGACAAAACTGAATGATATAAAAAACAAATATAAAAAAGAAATATAAAAAACCTAACTAGGTTTTTAACAAAAAACGAAACTCACATTGACAAGATTGCAAATTGAAACTTCAAATTCGAAAATAAAATAGAACACTTTTCCAGTCACAAAGTAAAGAAAAGCAGACCTTTAATTTTATTATGACCTCAAAAATATCAAAACCACAAAAAACTTCCACTTTCACTTTTTTATAATCTGTAGGTAGGATCACTTTTTAAAGGATCCCATTCACATTCCGAAAATCCTCTGAGGAAAAACTGTACAGTTCTGGCTTTCGGGATTTCCGAAGTGTGTGTGGTAGAAATCTGCGCAGATTTGCCGGACTGTTCAGGCAGCCTGATAAGAATTGAACGATTCTGAATAACTGCACGGTCCCACAGTCCTGTACCATACAGGCCGATCGGGTTGTGTGGTCAGTTCAGTTTGGTTGAAGCTGTCGTTTGGTGACCACGAATCGTCAATTTTTGAAAGGTTTTTTTTAAAATTTACGTGTCAGAATCTTACCTATGGCAGGTTAATAATGGTATAAATAAGTTGCTTCATCCACACCAAGCAATTATGCCAATCTCTAAGCACAACTTTCTGAAAGCAATTTTATGTGGGAAAACTGTCTCTTTTTCTGTAGCCACTCTTTTGTACACATTTTCCTGACACGTTTTTTCTTACGACTTTTTTAAATAATGTATTGTCTTGTCAATAAAACACCGAGAAGAGCCACAATATCGTCAGTTTGCCCGCCAGCAAACTGAAAGGTATACCGGGTCGTGTATAGCGAAGGGTGCATTCAGGCTTTCCCGAAGGCCAGGACTGCACAGTTTTTCCTCAGAGGATTTCCGGTAAGTGAATGGGGCTTTAAGTACTTATCTAACTTTTTCTTATCGAGTTTATTAACTTTTTTCCAAGATATATAAATTATGTATTTTTATTACAAAAAATTTGAAAATGTAATGTAATGTGAGGTTCAACAACTGTAAAAGAATAATTCTGCTGCTCAAGGGAAAGTATAAGATTAGTTGCGAAGGGAAATGTGGTAACATAGATATTTTATTTCATACTAGTGCCTAAATAGTAAAAATAAAAAAATAAACGAAATTGCACCATATTCGATTTAAAACAACAAATGCACCTTATTTAGTAAAATATACATTAATTTTCCAAGACTCGTTATTCGCCTGCAAAAGTATTTCACCAAAAATAAGGCAAGACATGCTACATTTTGAAAAATACCTCTCAAACTCCCTCAGCCAACATAACAAAATTGTATAAAAAATTCAATTCGTACTACAACTTACGTTACTATTTACTAGAATATTTTGCTAGCTACGTTAAACGTGTGGGTATGGCACCTGTTAAAAAACTGCACAAAATTCATTGTACCTATACAATATATATAACAGTGCAGGCAGAACGTATTAGCTACGCGGCCCATCTTTTGAAAATCCTGAAATCAAAGACTGAAAGCTCTGGGTTATTTTTTTTATTAATATTTACAAAATACTTGCAGCGTAACACCGCCCGATCGAATTAAGTTCTCAAAACAAACAAAAAATACTGATATTTTACAGTTGTTACTGCAGTCACGGCAGCAATTTACTTCACGTATACCTTTTACACACCTATCATACCTCTCTCTTATTTACAGTGGGCTATATAGTTAAAGCTATATGCACTACAGTGTTTGTATTTTTAACCATGCAACCTGCTGGCTTTGGATATAAATCGGTTGGCATGTTAGCAATACACACACTCAATAAGTTTTAGATGACCTATGCAGAAATTAATTTACGATTTCACGTTTTCCCAAAAATGGAGCGATTAAATGATGTCGATCATTGTAGTATAACAAAATTAATTTTCAATGCATATTTGGCCATAATCCTGGACAGACCCATAATTTGAAGACAACTGAAGTCGATCATACAATTTTATTTTTCTTAATTAACATCGGAATTTGCCAGTAAACAAAATTTTAAAAATTAATCAGGGGATCATAAACTAACATACTGGAAAATAATGGAGGTGCTTGTTGGGATCTTTTTCTAGATGTGGGCATAACATTATTTTAATAATCGGATAATAATTCAAATTACATTTCATTTAGAATTACATAGACTTGAGAGAATACAGGATGAGCAGGCAAAAATAACACCACAAATTTACATATTTTTTTTATATTTGGGCTCACGCATGTAGTAACTAGCTCTTGAAGTTGACAGTTGAAAATCGATTTTATATTATAATTTTTTTGTTTCTTATTAAATTGAAATTGAAAGATTGTTTTACTATTTTAAGTGGATAAACTGCGCTTATTTGACATTATACAAGAAACGTTTTCTACACAAACACGTTCAACAATGAAGATAAACTCTTCAATATATCCATGAATATAGGAAAACAAAAATGAGTCATTTATGCAACAAAATAAGTACGTAATGTCAAATGTCATTTGATATGCACTTATTTTGGTACATAAAGAATTATTTGTTATTTTCAAGCTTTTATTACCATTAACATACGTCGAAAAGATTACGGAATACTGTCAAATGCTTTTATCGGTTAAATGGTTTGTTATATCGATAAGAAGTACGCCACATATACGTATACTACTTATACGTGTGTGTTAATCTTATTAAAAGGGGGAAAAATATATGAGTAAAAAAAAAGAGGATTTATCGGTAGCAGCGGCAGAATACGCCATCTGTAGCTGGTGTAGCAATCGAGACACACGGAAATCAGAGACCATAAAATAATTAGGGAGAACACAATTATAGTAACCTCTACTTCTACTATCTAATAGATGTCGCTGCACCATAATGGCGGTAAATTTAAATGTAATAAAATATACTAAGAAAAATAAAGTACTTCGTAAGTACAAAAGTACAAAACAGCTGCTAATGATTTAAGTTGATAATTATAATTAAACTATTAACAGCTGTTTCATGACCCATTACTTATGAAACACTTTAATTATGACTTGATTAAATGAAAAAGTTGCAGCAGTGCTTTTTAAATGTGTGACAAATATATAAATTCATTCTGTTATGAATTCGAAAACATTTAAGTATCAAAAAAATTTACAGGTAGACTCTTATTATTTTTTTAAAGAAACCATTCAAAACTGCAAATTTAAAATAAATTTTAAAGAATTATTTACCCCATTATGTAAAATGCATCGCACAGTTACTTGCCAAAAAGTATGGTTAGACTTATAGCAAATGACAATTTTGAATATGTGTATTTCGGTTTTCTACAAGGTGGAAGTGAACTATTTTTAAAACATTTTAACTCAAATTGGTCTTCACAAAAATAATGATCTGTGCTTATCAGTCGTCTGGTTTACATAATTTTCGAACTGATTCTATCCACAGTAGCTGTCTGTCTACTGTAATTCTGAAAAAACTTTTATTTCTATAGGACGCATTACAACATTCTTAAAGTAAGTACGTTTGCAATTTGCAGCACATTGGCATTTTGTTCTACCAGGTACTCATTTTGGATAAAAAACAAATAAAAAAACAGTAAAGCAGTTCAGATGATTGATTCAATAAATCCCTTATTACATTAATCTAACACGAAACAAATTTATTAATGCACAAATCTCAGCAACCCACCTGAATATAAACTAAAAACTATAACCTCAAACTTTCTATTTCTATTGATTGGAAGATTGGAAATACAGATTCGATCTGTGGTTGCAAATTTCTGTTTAACAATTTCTATAAAGGATAATGTTCTGCCACACCAACACAAGATGCATGCTCCATCCGCCCTATCCAATCAAATCCTCTTATAACTTTTATCCAAAAATTACCTGAATTTAATGAGAAATGAAAAAGTTGCAGTGAAAAATAGATTTCCAACTCTTAACTTCAAAAGCTAATAACTATGCAATGAGCTTAAATAAAAAAAAGTATATTGTTACTGTCATTCCAATGTGACGTATCTCACAGAATTTGACAATTTCACTTGTTTGAAAAATGAAATCATAATAATGTTGTACAGCTTATGTTAAAGTTTTGGAGGCCAAATTGTTTATATACTATTTTTAAATAAATGTTCTAATATGTCGTATCGCACACTCCGATTCTCACGTATTCTAATATGTCGTATTCCACATACTAAGGTTAAGTTAACATTAGTGATGTAACAACAGTCACACTAGCGATTAGTTTTAAGTTAATTTTAGCAAAATACTTTAAAACACGAGAAAGAAGGTAATTAATTTAGTTTTTTAATATAATTATACGATTTACTTAATTTTTTTTGCTTCAATTATTACCTGTACATTTTAATTAGCGTAAGAAATAAAAATTAACTTATTTTTTTTATAATTATGACATTGAGACATTTTTATGTTCTGAAAATTTTTTCCAATATGGTATATGTCATATTAGAACGAGGGTATTGACATATAAACTTGTAACATTATTTTTTTTCCAAGACCTATCCAAATCCAAGCTATTACCCACCATTTCCCTAACACCCTGTGTAACCTCCATATAACACATATTCCTGATACCGACTGAGTATTACACTTATTACAAAAGGACAAATAATTTGTAATTTGAGTTACCAAATATAATAATCAGATTTTTCAGTTTATTTAAATAATCTTCACTTTTATTTTAAATTTTCCAATTACAGTGTAACCCCCATTATCCAAACAGGCCTTTATCCGAATATCCACTTAACCGAACGGAAAAAAACGCAACATTATCCGAACGAGCCTCGTTTATCCGAACTGGGTGGCCGAGGAGCTCGGGTGATTTGCGAAATTTGCTGCCGCGCTTGCGTGTGCGACTGGGTTTTCGTCTCGCCCGGCCCAATCGCGGTGGAAGATGTGATAGATTTAATGACTGACAATGACATCTTGCACAATATAGAGAATGTGGAAATAGCCGAAGAAGAAAATGAGACCGAAGGAGCTGCCGACAACAAAATAACTCATGGAGAAGCCGTGCAATGTTTTGACAAATGTATAATGTGGGCCAGTGATAATGGCGAAACGTCTCACAACATATTTCTTTTAAAGGAGGTGCAGATTTGAGCCAGAAAATTAGAAAGTAAATCCCTTTCACAAAGAAAAATAACGGATTTTTTTAAATAAAATATGTTTAAGTATGTAGTTTATTAACATTTTTTTTTGTACATATATTTATGTATACATACTTTAATATGTAGTTTAATAAGTGTTTATGTCTTTATATTTTTTTTGTATATGTTTTTCCATATTATAATTAGAAACTTGAAGTATTAAAAAAGGTTTTTAGAAAAATAACTGTGTTTTAATTTTAAATTTGATTATCCGAACAAATTGATTAACTGAACAACACCTTACAATAATTAGTTCGGATAATGGAGGTTGCACTGTACTATTTTTTTTTCATCATATTTTTTTAATAATACAAAGAGTTTTCTGAAGAACCAAATTTCATTTGTAACAATTCTACAGCAGAAAAAGTCAAGTACGTGTTAGAATATTTTTGCCACACCACAAAAAATTTTCTAAATATATTTTACAGCGTATCGGGCAAGAAATGGTGGACTTAACATTTGTTATTTCTTTTATCTGCAGTTTTTGTTTTATTTAGACTTTATTGAAATAAACAACTAAGGCATTTTCATAAAGATTTCTTATAAATCTTAAATAAAAAAATATATTATCACAGAATATCACAAATAATAATCAATCTAAAATCCATCACAAGTTAACTCAAAAATAAATTAATCAGCACGAATTTTTGTCTTCATAACCACTTAAAACAAGTTGATTAAACAGTACAGAAACATGCAGATTTGTAAACAAAATGGTTCAGCTTCATTTGAAAGATAATTATCAACACAGAAAAGTATTTTTTCAAAAATTAGTACAGTAGTTCTCCTACAAGTCTGCAAGACTTGCATATCATACATATATTTTTTTCAAGCTTTTAACATAGTCAAGGGCAACCGTTTCAACTTTGCTGTGACCTGATGAGTCAATGAAGTTTCTATGTATCTGGCAAATTTAAGGGAAATAATTTTATAGATTTGAGGCATACACTTTCAAAGAATGATTTAAAGTTGGTAAGGACAGATAATAATCAATCACACGTATGTTTTGGACACTTGTATGCACTGTACGATTTTTTTCCACCTAACATACGATGTGTCCATGATAAGGATATCTATCATAGAAATATCGAAAACAGTGAAACATTGAAATGGTCAAACAGACCTCAAATATATTTTTTTTAATTTTGAAAAAATAAAATTTTTCGAGTTTTTGTCCGACTTCTTCCTCTAATATTATTACAACAGTAAAAAATGAACACCTCTTCATGACATCTTCTGGCAATGTCAGTTTTGTCATCTGACGTTTCGTTTTCATACCACAAACTTTTTTTTAAATTAGGTTTTGCCTAATAAAATACATAGTTTTAAATTACTTTTAAATCTGTGTTCAATGGTTTCACTTATGGTGGTTTCATTAGGTTTTGGAAACATTTCGGCCATCATCAGAAGCTTTTTGAAAATGTTTCTAAGTACAGCTATTGTTTAAAATAAATACATACAGTGAAAATTTGTTATAATGATATTGCTTATACGACATATTGGATATAACAATGGAATTTGGAAGTTCCGATTAAATTCTATAGAAATACCATATAAAAAATATCGTTTCCTACGACATCGTTTACAACGACATCTCGGTTTTAGGGACATGTTTTTATATACGAGGGTGATTCAAATATAAACGAGAATGGCAAGGTGGACATCTTGAAAGGGCACCAATCGGCTTAGGTACGGACAGGGAATGTTAGTAGGGATAGGATGACTGGGGGGATCATAGTTGACACGGCCCTAAGACCATTAGCCAAGTAGTGGCAAAAATGAGCGAGAAGGAAGTACATCCATCTTTTGCGCAATGGATTATCATAAAATTTAACGCGGGTGGGGGGTCCGCTCTGCTAAAATTTTGCGACAGCAGTTCGCTGAAAACAATCTTTCACAACCCCGTGTTTTTTTGGCACAAAGCCTTCTCTGAAGGATGAGAGAAGGTTGAAAATGAATCACAAGATCAGCGGCCCAGAACCAGCTTAACTGATGGACACATTCAAGTAGTTCGTGACCTTCTGGAGAACGACCGTTGCCTGACAGTCACAGAAATCGCATGTGAAGTGTAGGGAGTATCCATACTATCATCCGTGATGAGTTTGGTTGGGTGCCACGCCTTCTCTCAGAGGAACACAAGAATGTTCGTCTTGACATCTACCAACGGCATTTGCAACGGTATCGTACTGAAACGGATGCATTTCTCGACCGTACAGTGACCTGCGATAAGACTTGGGTGCACCATTATACTCCCAAAAGTAAGCAAGCGAGCATGGAATGGCGAAAAAAGGAGAGGTCGCTCCAGTCAAGGCCAGTTGTCAGCGGGTAAAGTTCTCGCTAGTTTTTTGAGATTCAAAATGAAACCTTCTGCCGGATTTTCTACACGAGCAGAGAACAATTAATGCTGGTTACTACTGCAGACTTCTTGAGCCATAAGGAACCCATAAGGAATATCATTTTGCTCCACGATAATGCTCGACCCCATACGGCAAATCAAACAGGCCAGAAATTGGAAGAAATGTTCTGGAAAACTCTCGAACCCCCCCCCCTTAAGTCTGGACCTGTCCCCATGTGATTATCACATGTCCGGGCCATTGAAAGAGGCTTAGGGAGGGCAGCGTTCGCTGGTGGCACAGAGGTGGAGGCGTTCGTGCGCAACTGGCTAACGACCACCATCCTTCTTTCTACAGTGACGGAATCAAAAAGTTTCCAATCAGGTGGGAAAAATGTGTTTCAAAGGAAGGTGATTATGTAGAAAAATGAGATTTTTGTGAACTTCTTAATTTTATCAATAAAAAAAAAATTAATTCTCGTTTGAATGACCCTCGTACATTTATCATGGTATCTATCGGCTATAACGACCAATGGAGTTGAATTTAAATTTCAATCTTTGAAGTTAGTTTACTTTTTAACTGAAGGAAGATTGCTACAAACTTCTGATGATGGTTCAAACATATCAGAAACATAACTAAAACCATCAGTAACTACCAAATTTAAAATACTTCAAAAATATGAATTTTATTAAAGAATGCAATAAAAAAAATGAGGTTAATAACAACATATTGAAAACAAAATGTTTGAAGGTGAAAGTGATATTTCTATGAAAAAATACCGAAAAAGTTACAATGCAGAAAGAAGAGTTCTTTTCAATTTGCTCTAATAACAAACAGGAAAAATTAAACAAAAAATCAAAAAATTCGATTTTCAGAAAATATCAAAAAGTAAAAAATATTTGAATGTGTATTTATAAAAAAAATCTATACAGAATGTTCTAAGAAAAATATATTATAAAATTCTCACAACTCTTTTTATTATGACTTATGAGATTTAAAAAAATAGTTAATTTACAAGCGTTAACAAAAAAAAAGGATTTCTTTCAGGAAAACAATTTGGAATGACGGTGTAACTAAATTGACCAGTTTAATGTAGAATTTTCTAAGTAAAAATTGTATGATCAACAGCAGTGGGGTCCTTTTACACCTTAAGAACTAATCAAAAAATAAATAAAATTAAAAAATAATTACGATAACAATTAATGAACTAAATGAAAGGATATAAACTTAAACGGAAAAATATTCAAAATGCTAACAATTATAACTGTACAATTCTAAATTATAGTATATTTTTAAATTGTCAAGATATCTTACAGCCGCCCCGTAAGTTGCGAGACAAGAGGAACATTTATAACTAATATCCAAGAAAAATATCATCTGCGGAACTCACGGGCGGGATTCTTAGTTAAGAGTAGAAACTGACCGAATTGGTGTTTTATTATTTGATATTGCTACATATATATAAAAGGTGCACTGTTTACGCAAAAATATCCTCAAAATGCTAAGTTAAAACGTAACGTTTCCCAACAACATTCAATATAAAGAAGGTACATTTGCAAACGATCTAACGAAACTCAAGAAATGTGAGTAATTTTACAGTTTTCGAGGAAGAAATTACAATGAACACCGCCTACTGAGATTCTTATAAATAAAACAACTATTCCACCGTATACAGTAAATAAATAAATTCTGGCCAAAATTTATATAAACATACCTCTTGAAACGTTTCTTCCTGCTGGAGAAGCTGCGAACTGAAAGTCTCTCGTTTTTCCCCTGTAACGGAAAAGCCAAACAAATAGGTTGAATGGAAGCGCCGGTGTTGATTGTCTAATTCTAATTGGTGTAACTTAGTCACGCTAGACAATTTAATATTGCTAAGCTTTTTCACAACAACAAACACGTATATTTTTAGGCTAGACATCATCGGGCAGGAAAAGTTCACCGACGCATTTTGCTGTTTAGACGCCCCGAATAAACTCTAGCAGATACTCAAAACGCTCGTAACGATTACTTTCCCATCTTCAGATGACTGACCGTTTTGTGCAATTAGTTCTAACATCTCAATGTTTTTTTTTTATGTCAATAAATAAACACATACATTTAGCACTTGTCTGAACACTTGTCGCTATGCGCTAGTACGGATACGGTTCAATTCGTAGTCTTTAGTTCACCATTAACGTGTGAGATTCCATGGGTGCCGCAGAATCGTACAAGGTGTCGGTGTCTTGGGTCGGCTCACCCTGCAACTGACACTGATTTGTTAAAGTGCCAGCACCACAGTCACAGAAAAATCTGTAAAAAAAAGATTTTGTCAACCAATGATATTCTAAAATAATGACTTTTTTATTCAAATTTGGTTATAAATTGCCAGAATAAAGACATATACAGTGCCTTCATAAATACAAATACCTGAGTCCCACGTAAAACCAGATTTGTTTTGATGCTCAGTAAATTAGATTTTCTTAAGTTGGTGTTCCCGAAATTACCAAGAAACATCACCAACTAACACCATAGATTAAATGTCAATCCAAACATTTGTAATTTTTAGTGTTTTTATGCCTGTTTATACAGTTTAGAATTGTTTACCAGTATTTCTGTGCCTTTCTACAAAGTAATATTTGTTGCATTGAAAAAAATTGCTTCTTTTTGGAACTCCGAATATTTTGTAAATTAAACGAAAATTTTAAGGTTATATTCAATTGTTACATTTTTATTTCTTGAAGATTTATGTGAAAATGTAAAAAAATATATATTTTTTTCTAATGAAAAAAGAAACAGGAATTTATGAGGCATTGTAGTACAGACTTGCCGGGACGTGGCCTCCAATGAAAGTGAATGTTTGGGGTTGCTTCTGTGAAAAAGGATTTGGTACTTTGTACTTGTTCACGAACAATTTTAATGCTCATAAAAATGGTCAAAATGTATGAGAAATATTTAATAAAGGCTGCTTGAAGATGGTTTGGTCCAAATTGCAATTCATGGGTGCTTCAAGAGGAAAAGAATTCCAAACGTCGGAGTCACTTTTGCACAGACTGGAAACGTGAAAATGGCATTGTTCAAAGGATTGGCCTTCTCTGTTCCCTGATGCCAATTTAATTGAATTGGATGAAATTAAAGCTCAGGGGAAAACGAAAGCAACTGATCAGACATCGGGAGACAAAAATCTGTCAAAAAGTATGCCTCGATGCTGTCAAGCTATAATTGACAGTAAATGTGATTGAACAACATACTAGATAAACACATTTTAGCTTAACAATTGTACTAAATGGTTAAAAAAGAATTTTTCATAAATTTTCTTTTATACAGATGTATGAGTCCGTAAGGTCTTGTGGAAAGATGGTCCAATTCCGATATATTAAAGAGCTGCAGGTGGTTTTCACTCCCGCACGGATCTCAAAAAAGTGATGTTTTAAGGCGGCAAAGGCTTTTTTCCTGAGCCGCACAGCGGCGAGCATCGGGGCGCTTCCTTTGTTGCTTAGGGTATTTCGGTGGAGGCTTCTCCGCGTTTTCCTAGGTAAATTTTTGTTTTCCCGGGGCTCCTTGGTGAAAACGACAAATTTTCATTACAGCAGAAAAACAGAACACGACAAGGACGGCCACCAATGGACGTTTAAAGGGTCAATTTGTGACACTAAAGACCTTTTCCTAAGGGCCGATCGGGGGTTCGCTCAGCTTTTACAAGTGAGTTTCGTCCTTTCTTCGTTGCCATGGGACTTTTCGAAGGGTATTTTTTGCTTTCTAATGCCGCAATTTGCTTTTTAAAAAGGTTCTGCACATTGCATCTCTCTCGTGAAACCCCAATATTTTCGTTATTTAGGCCAAAATGCTATTTTTGCAGCGTCATATTTTCCTTTATGGATAGGGTCGGCACCCGCACTTTGTTTCGAGAGGCAGCCGAAACTTTTCGCTTTACGTACGAGCCACTCCCACGACTCTATTCTGTGATTCCAACGTTCCCCGCGGGGCCAGTACGATGATCGGCGATTATTTTTATGTTCCGAGTCCTTCGTGAAAGATTTTAAGGCAGAAAAATGCAATTTTTAACATTACGAAAATCTTTGTTTACTCCAGCTATGAACAGGAATTCAAATACCGATATGGACATACTCTGTCTAGACTCGATGATAGCTCAGTGGTAAAAGTGTCACATTGCAATCCCGAGGCCAACGGTTCGAATCTCGCAAGGGATTCCTAGAAATTTTTTTTAATTATTACCGTATTTTATTTTTATTATTGAGTTTATTTTTTAAATCTCTCCATAAGAAGAAAATATTATAACTTTTCTAATAGGTTTTCATAAACAGGATGTCTAAAAATATTGCATTGAACTTCGAACTATCCAGAGATAATTATGAAATTACAATGTTGATGACTTTTATATACAGGGTGTTCCAAAAAATGTTATATTTACCAACCAAAGAGGGCCAGAGAAAAGTTGCTGACCTTTTTAGTATACTTTAAATATATCAAAAGCTGTAGGTTACTCTCACCCGCGAAAAGAGGCTTACGGTATTATTGTATCATCAAAGGCCTCACGAAGGATGTGAAGCGCCTTTGGTCCTTCCTTTATCCAAACGTCGTATTCTGAAGGCAATTCCTTAGCGTCTTCTAAGAAAAATTTCCTCTGTAAAATGAGACCTCACCAAAAATCGAATTTTTTCGGTGCGAAAGAGATAACCGAAGTACATCCAATGTTTTGTCAGAGATGCAAACAAATGTCAGTGAAGACGTCAAGATAAATTATGTCTTAAGGAGTTTTCCCGGCCAATCGGGACACAGCTAGTCGTTATTTTGCTGTTAGCCACCGGTTCCGATTTTTCAGACGCTACTTTGGCGATAAAACTTGATTTGAACATTTTCAATTTTCTGTTTACATTCGCGGAGACCCAGTTTTCAAATAACCCATGTAGACTCCACACAGTGTTACATCACTGTAGCTCATTTTATAATCTCGCCACTGCGAAAGTCCGGGGTTCAAATCGTAAGCAGGTCGCATTTTTTTTTATTTTTTAAATGTTATATATTCTTTACCAACCCACAGAGAATGCGCATTGCAGCTCGAGTGCCGAAGGCCCGAGAGAAAGATCAAGTCCCCACCATCGGACTTGCCTACCTTTCTATACTCGGCGGCCGAAAATATAGATAGTGATTCATACATAATATAGAAATACTATTACCATAAAGTGTATAAAACTTAAAATGATTTTTATAACGGTTCAATATTATTTGCTTATGTTAAATGATGTGCCGCTCTCTTTTTGCATCGATAGGATCTATAACAGTCATAGACTGAGTTACACTGAACGCGATTTATTTCCTATGTCTGTCTATCGCACTTATTACAGATAGGGAAATGCTCTTTTTAGTGGGTGTAAACGGACGTACGTAGAATTCGAGTTAGCCGTAGTTAGAAACGTCAAACTATAAGCGCGCGCGAGGGTTTGCATATTCCGTGACTATAGTAAATTTATAAATTAAAAAAATACAATCGGGACGTTTTAAAACGTAGGAATAATAATTAAAATGGATCAAAGTGCCGGTTGTAGCAAACGGTCTGTTGCTCATAAACGCCCTAACCTATGCGATGCGGAATTAATAATGGTAAAAAACGTGTATAAAGGAATTCGGTCGCGAAATTCTAATACAAGTGTAAGTGAAGCTGTTGATATGTGTAGTTCGTTGACAAAAGTATCCGTTGCTACTGTTTATCGTGCCATAAAAAATAGTGTAGAAGTGAATCCAAAGAAGAAAAAAGTGGAAACACGAGGGAGGAAGAAAATAGAAGTCGACGTTGACGTGAAATACTCCATACGTAAGAAAATTCATGCATTTTTCTTTAGAAATGAAATACCAACGATAAAGAAAATTCAAGCTGCAATAGCTGAAGATGAGGATATTCCTAATTTCTCTGATAAGGTTCTTAGAAGAATAATGCGTGACATGAATTTTCGATATTTGAAACGGAATCGGAATAGTATGCTCGTTGAAAAAGACGAAATTGTGGTATGGCGAAGAGAATACTTAGAAAAAATAAGAGAACTTCGTGCATCTGGTAAGAAGATATATTACATGGATGAAACATG